ACCACCTAGCTGCCCCACATTTAGTCTTTCCTTACCATCTCCATTCCAACCATTCCAGACCATACTTCAAATGCAAACATTCCAGATCATCTCTTTCAGGTAAAACTGTTATAATGGCATCATAATTGGACTTCTTCTCTCCAATCTATTTCTTCTCTAATGCATCTCTGTATCTGTGTTATTCCTTTACTCAAAAATGTTCCGTGGATTTTCAATTGCCTACCAATTACAAAACAAAATCTTCCCTCTCTCATGGCCATCAACATGACTTAGCTTATATTATTTCCTCTACGTGGAATGGACAACTTTCTACATGTCTTTAGGGACAGCTCATCCTTCAGGACCTAATTCAGGTGCCACTTACTTCATGAGTCAATCAATCAACAATCAACAACCATTTTTAGTGCTTCCTATGAGCCAGGCATCATTCTTGGTGCTAAAAATAAAACAGTTTTTGCCTTCAAAAAGATTACATACTATCAAAGGAAACAGCATGCATAAATAAGGCAGCTGAGTGATACAGAGGATAGAAGGCTAGACCTTGAATCAGGAAGACCTGAGTTCAAATTCTGCCTTAGACACTTACTAGCTATGTGATCCTATTCAAGTCACTTAACCTCTGTTTGCCTCAGTTTCCTCACATGTAAAATGGGGCTAAGAATAGCACTAACCTCACAGTGTTATTGTGACAATCATATGAGATAACATACATAAAGTGCTTTGAAAATCTTAAAGTGCTATATAAAAAGTGAATGTATACAGAATATCTGCATAACAAATACAAGTTTATTTTAAAAGGTAGGGGTTAAAAGGAGCTTGGGGTATCAGAAAAGGTTACTTTCAAAAGGTTGTACTTCAGTTGAGTCTTGAAGGAAAGAAATAATTAGAAGACTCCAGGACAAAGAGAAATTCCAAGCACTGAAGGTAGCCAATGCAAAAGGATTGAGACAAAAAAATGGAGTGCTGTGTACAAGAAACAATAAATAGTCTAGTTTTTCTGGACCCAAGAATGTGAGGAGAGAAGTAGTAAATAATAAAGTTGGGACAGTAGGTTACAGCCAAGTTGTGAAAGGCTTTAAATGCCAAGAAGAAGAATTTATACTTGATCCCTTTATGCAATACAGAGCCATTGAAATTCATTGAGTAAAGAGAGTGACCGGGTCAAATTTACACTTTAGGAAAATCAATTTGGCAGATATGTGGAGGATGGATTGGAGAGGTCATAGTCATGAAGTAGGGAAATCAATTAGAAGACTCTAGCAAATAGGTCTGAAAAGGTGATGGTCACGTGTGTAAAGAAAAGCGTGATGTGAAGTGACGAGATTTAGAAGCCAAGTGGGTATATGGGGTCAGAAGAGGAAAGGATAATGCCAAGACTGTGAACCTGGGAAACTAAAAGATGGTAGCATCCTAAACAGTAAAAGGAAAATTCTGAAGAGGTGAAGGTTTTATTGGGAAAGATAAAAAGTTCAGTTTTGGATAAGATTAATTAGATATCTCAATTATGCATGCAGTCTGAAATATTTAAAACATAGTTGGTTACGGGGCAGTAGAACTTAGGAGATGGAAAAATGTTGCATCCAGAAGTCTGGAGAGTCATGTACATAGAATTGGACATAGAATATGTAAATAGAATAAATAAACATGGAAGCTAGGTAGCAAAGTAGATAGAATGTTGGACCTGCAATTAGGAAGCCCCAAGTGCAAACGCGGCCTTAAACACTTAGTAGGTGTGTGGCCCAGGGCAAAGCCCTTAACTTCTGTCTGTCTTATTTTTCTCATATATAGAATTGGTATAATAATAGCATCCAACTCTCAGAATTATTATGAGGATAAAATGAAATAATATTTTTAAAGTGCTTTCCAAAATTTAAAGAGCTGTGAAATGCTAGCTAGCTAGCTAGCTAGTAGCAGTAGTATTAGTAGTAGTAGTAGTAGTAGTAGTGATGGTGGTGGTGGTGGTTTTATTAATTATATCTATGGTAGCTGAAATTAAGTTGTGAGATTATATAGAAAGAGAAGAAATGAGAATCTAGGACAAAATCTAGTCACATTGTTACAGGTAGGGGCTATGATGTGCTTGTTGAAGAAACACAAGTTATTAAAGAGGACTCAGACAGGAAGGAGGAGAATTAAAAGGCAGGAAAATCCAGAGAGAATATCAAGGAGGAGATGATGGATAACAGTATTGAATATTACAGTGTTCAAGGAGGATAAGGAATTTTTAGAAGGCCATCAGAATGACTTCATTGATGTTGTCTCACACAACACTATCCTCCCATGTGATCTCTTCCTCTTCCAGTTGATTAAGGTACTTTACCCAGACCTCTATGCTGTATTTATATCTCATGCTGTCTTATATCATAGTTAATTATTTACATGCCTTTCCTCTACTTTATTAAATTATAAGCTTCTTAACTCTTAGACTAATGTCTAACTATTATTATATTCCCAGCACCTAGCACAGAACATTTCCTATAATAGAAAGTCAATACATGTCAGTCAACAAGCATTTATTAAGTACTTACTGAATGTAAGGCACTTACTTGTTGAATAATCGATATTTTTTGAAAAGTCACTGCAAGACTGTGTTTCGCTAAACTCCTACTTTTACTATATTGCATTCTTCCTCAATGTAGTTCTGATAAAAATACATAAAAATATGATATGATATATGGCAAAGATAAATTACATCAGATAGCCTGTTACTGATATAGACCTTGCCAGAATCCAGATTTCATTTTTAGAGCAATCCTGCTTAGAGAAAAAATCATCTGTCATACTGAATAATGAAAATTGCTAGGGTCTGCATTGAGTGCTCATATATGAGACAGAGGTGGTAACTTTTTGGAGTGTCTTTTCATGGAAAATTGTCCACCTGAAGCAAGGTTAATCAATGCTACTTCCCCCATACACCTAACACTTATTCTGTGCTCTAGCCAAGTTTTGATACAAACAAGACCTTCTTAAGAGCTTGAAAACTATGATTATTGCTCCCATTTAGCAATTTCCTGTTTCAATGAATCAACTTCCAAATACCGGGTGTCTCTCTTAGTTGCATCTTACAGTCTGCAGCAACGTTTTGAGTTGATAAATATACTTTTTATCGGGCACTTTAATTTCTTGTAAATTATTTAGTGATAACTTCCTTAGCCTCTAGTCTGTATTTCACATACATAAACAACGTTGAATGAAAGATCCCAGAATGCTTTTGGAAGTCAGTGATGATTATTTTTCATTTAAGCATCTCTCCTCGTAAGTAAGCAAGCAAGCAAGTAAATAAATAGATAGATAGCTAAATAAATAAAGTACATTACACTTCCATCCCTCAGTCGGTACAATCCTAACAGAGTACACCATGAGTAGCACACTACTAAATGTTAATTTATGAAGATAACATTTGACAAATTCAGTGTAAAATAAAAAAGTTGTATAAATTCTCTTGGGATAAATGATTTACTTAGCAAGTGAAATTTTGCTTTTAGGAGTATTCCATAATGTTGCTGCAAAGAGACACATTCATAGTGGCATTCAATCAGACAAGAGCAGTCAGTTTCCCAGGATTTTAGATAGCTACTTCCTGCATAGGGCTAATGTAAAAGGGTCTCTAATGATCCCTAGTCTTATATACTTCATCTTGATTTTTCCTAAAATAGAATTAGACTTATAGAAAGAGTTAAAACAATGATATCTTGCAGTAGAAACTTCCAAGCTTTCTGAAATTATTTTGGAACACCTACTACATGTCAGACGCTGTGCCTTTAACTGCGGTCAATACCAGGAAAGTCATAAGATAGTCTGTGCCCTCAAGAAGCTTACCATCTAATGATGAAGACACCACATAAAAATAAACTGAAAAACAGGTTTGGGGCATAAGTTATAGGGGTGGGGGCATGAAGAAGTCATACAGCTGGAGAGGAAACAATCTGAAGTATGAGATACCTCTAGTCTACTGGAGAAGATAACATAAACATAAACAACATGACAGTGTTCAAAATTATACAAGATATGTATACACACATACACACACACACAATAAGAATAAGATGTATTAAGAATAAATTGGAGATCATTTCAGAGGGAAGTTGCTGGCATTAAACGGGGGTGGAAAAACCTTCTTAGAGAAAGTAGAGTTTTAACTGAGACTTGAAGGAAACCAGAAAGCTAAGAGGCAGAGATAAGGAGGGAAAACATTCCAGGAAGACAGAGGCAGCTAGGGAAAATGTATTGTTGAGACAGATTGTCTTGTTCGGGGTTCAGCATTCACAGTGTCCAGTGTCACTGGGTGGTAGAGTATATGGAGGGAGTTCAGTTGTAGAAACACCAAAACGGTAAGGGTCCAGGTTATGAAAGCCTTTAAAAGTCAAAAGGGGGGTTTACATGATTCTAGAAGCAATGAGGAGTCATTGCAGTTTATGGAATGGGAAGGTGATATGGTTAGATCTGCACTTTAGGAATGTCATTTTTATTGGTAAATAGAGGATGTACTAGAGAAAGAGCCCTCTAGTTAGAGGGCTAATCCAGTAATCTTGATGAACAACTTGTTATTATTGTTGGTTTATATTAATCACATAAAAATGGTCCAAGTATCTTCTACTAGGGTTGTAGTGTATGAACGGTACTGTGCCTTTGTCATGGCACATCTGAAATGTTGTATTCAATTCTGCCTTAATACCAGATATCGATAAATTGGAAGGCAACCAGGATGGTAAAGGGAGTTAGCTCATGCCATATGATGATCAATTGAAGGGACAGGGGGAAGTTTATTCTGTAGAAGAGAACACTTAAGACATCATTAGCAGTTTAAAAAATATTTAAAGGGCTGCCACATGGAAGAATAATGAGATCTGTTCTGCTTGGCCCCAGAGTGGAGAAAGAAGAGAGCAGAGCAGAGCAATGAGTGGACATTGTAAAGAAGCAAACTTTCTGACAATTAAAGCAAACCAAAAGTGATGTGGAGGTAATGAGTTTCTTCAAGAATAAGTAAGATGACTACTCACTTGTTCAATAGGTTGCAGATTGAACTCTTTTTTATGTATAAGTTGGTTTAGGCAACTTGGGGTCTCTTCTGATGAATGATATTCTGATCCTCAGAGTTGGCAATCAACCTATGAAAGGTTTGAAAGATGTATGTAGGTGATGAAATACCTGTTTGTTTATAACAAAAAAACAATCAAGGTTATTCCTCACCATGAATTCTCCCCTTTAAAGTGGTAACTTTGATAAGCTAAATACTAATTTTTAATGATGCCATCATTGTTTGAAATATTCTGTAGTTCCCCTTATGAAATGTCTTTCTCAGTCTGTAACATCTATCCTCTTGAGCAGTCTCAACAAAGACATATCTTCATATTTTTAGGTTGGGTTTGATTTTTAGAAATAGCCAAGAACTGTCTAAACCTCAGTCCTGTAAAGAAGGTGGTGATTCATTTAGATAATACAATGCTTTATTTTTAAAAGGAGGAATATAAAGAAATTGAATCAATTTTCTCATGTGCCTCATAATTTTGCTGTCACTGCTATTACAAAATTTGTTTTTAATATGTTTGGAGCTGTGGTGCCCTTGCTGCAATGCATGTGTGCTAACTGTCCCAATGAATGACCTACTTGGAAAAGGCAACACTTATTTAAATGCATTTATAAGTTTAGATATGTTTGTGAAAAAAATCAGACTCATTACTTTATAACATCAAGTTCATAATATCAAGCTTCATATATCAAGTTATAGGGATAGGCCTAGCCTAAGAATATGGGAAACTAATGAACTGAGTACTTTTGAATTGTCAATAGAATAATGACAAGTAGAGTCAAACAACTGTAGAAAACTTTTTTCAACTAAATTTATTATGAACAAACAGCATTTATGTATAGAAACAAATTATATGAAGTGAGCAATAATCTTTTTGTTGTTGTTGTTGGAAATCAGTACTGCTAACTTTCCCCCAACCTATTCTTATTCAGGTGGAAATTATTGATAATACTGTTGCATCTATTGGGCCATGTATTAGTAGAAATACTCCCGAGCTTATAGAGGTACTAAGAGATCTCAGGGAAGAGGTTTAGTTATACAACAGAACAGGTGAAAGAGGTTTAGTAATAGAAAACATATGAGGAAAGCTAATCAATAATGAAAGTTGAAGGTATCATGCACTAGAAGACTAAGGCAAAACATCTTAAATATAGTATGTTGATAGATACAAGGAAAAAAACAGTTGTCTATTATTCTTATTCCATATCAATAAGGAACATAGAAAATGTACAAATTCATTGACCATAGCAGAATTACAGATAAATGCTTGTTGATTGATTCATTCATTCACAAAAGCCTTAGACTAGAATTGAGTTTCTTGTCAATTTTAGTATTTGAGTGTTATTAAGTTAAATAAAATCTAAAGTTTAATCATGCAATATATTCTGAAATATTTCCAACTCATATTGCAATTTGCCATTTAAACCAACCAAGAATAAGTTAGTCAACCATATTTATTGTATAGAGCACTATCTTATGCACCATGAAGTAATACAAAACCTACAGAATAGAATTTATAATCTAGCAGAAAAGAGAAGTGGAAAAAAACTTAAAAAACAAAAGGAAAGAGTAAACATTTATGCAAATGCAATTACATAGATCATTGTAATGAGCCATAAATTTTACTCAATGGAAAGCCTAGAGTAATAAGAAATGAAGTGTCAGAGAATCTGACTTAAAGATAAATATAAAACAAGTGTAAGAAATGGAAAAAAAAAAAGATAGCATCAGACAGTCATTACTCCTGAGAAGACAAGAGGAAGCTCAGGAGTCTATTTTCAGCTGCCTCTTTCAGGGCAGACATGCTTATGTATTCTTATTTCTGATGACATCATTAGGCACAAAGCAGTTTGCATATATGTCCTGTAAATATTTGTCGAATCAGTGAATGAACAATTAGATCTCTCTGCTTTGGGATACCATTGCTTACTATCAAAAAGTTTTGTAAGAAGTTTTTGAAAAAGAAAGATTAAAAAAAACTTGGGACCATTAATCCATCAACAAGTATTTATTAATATTTTGCTAGATCAAGGGGATACAATTATAAAGAATGAAACAACCCCTACTCACAGTGAGCTTATATTCCAAAGGGGGGAACAAAAAATACATATAAAATAAATTAAACAAAACATAAAATTAATATAAATATGTACAAATAGTTAAATACAAAGTAGTTTGGAAGAGAGAATACTGGCGATTGAAGGGACCAGGAAAGGTTTCATGCTGAAGATTTGGATATATTCAGGACAGGATCCTGTTGTTTACATATATCAGGCACTTCCTCCTTAATACTCTACAGAAAGGACCCAGATTGGAGGTTAATGAGGATGATGAAAGTGAGAAAAATAGAAATAAACATAAAAAAGTACATAAGCCTGGAATAGTGTGGTATGGTAGTATAAAATGTGGATCCTAATCCTGCCTCAGGCATTTATGAGTCACATGACCCTGGCAAGTAGTTTTACCTCTCTGCATTTCAGTTTCCCCATCTGTAAAATCGGTACCTATAATAACTACCTACTAGGGATATTATGAGACTCAAATAAGATAACATATGTAAAGCTCTTTGCAAACCTTAAAGTACAATATACATATCAATTATCTTCATTGTTCCCTTAATTGTTACCGATGTTACACTCTATTTTGAAATGGATGGACAGATCAGTTGTTCCTTCTCTTTTCCAGGAGATGCCACTACAACATTTTCTACATTTCCATAAAGCATACTAACCATAGTAATACAGCTACTGAATTCAACAATTTGAGAGAAATTTATTAAACATATATTATGTATGAGACCTGGTCTGTTCCTCCAAAGACACAAAGATGAATAAGAGATACACACACACCAGTTTAGTGGGAGAGGGGATAAGGAAGGCAGTCAATTAATAAGCATTTATTAAGCACATATCATGAGCCAGGCAGTATGCTAAGTGCTGGGCATACCAAAAGTTTGAAAAAACCCATAGTCCATGCTTTCAAGGATCTCACAATCTAATTGGCGAGATAACATGAAAACAAATATATCCAAATCAAGTTATATGCAGGGTAAAAAAGAAGTAATTAGTAGAGAGTAGTCACTGGAACTAAGAGGAGCTGGGAAAAAGCTTTCTGAAGAAGGTTGGATTTTATTTGGGACTTAATGGAAGCAAGAGAGATCAGTAGTCAGAATAAAGGAGGAAAAGATTTCTGGGCATTGAGACAACCAGAGAAAATTACTGGGGTTGAGAAATGAACTACTTTGTTCATGGAACACTCAGGGGACCAATGTCACCAAATCAGAGAGTACCCATTAGGGAGGAGGTGTGAGAAAAGGTAGGAAAGGTAGGAAGGGGCTAGGTTTTGAAGGGTTTTGAATGCCAAACAGAGCAATTTGTGCTGATCCTAGAAGCATTAGGAAGACACAAGGCTTTACTTTGAGGAGTAGTGGGTTGGGGGAAGGATATGACCAGAACTGTGCTTTAGAAAAATCCCTTTAGCAGCTGAATGGAGGATGGATTGGAATAGGGAGAGATATGACTAATGTAGATACAACAGCAGACTATTCCAATAATCCATGCACACCATGATGAGGGGCTACACTACATTGTTGGCAATGTCAGAGGAGAGAAGGGGGCGCGTGGAAGAGATGTTGTAAAGGTGAAATCAACAGGCCTTTGTCAATAGATTGGATATGGAGAATGACAGATAATGAGGAGGCATTGGGAGGATGGTGTTGCCCTCTAGAGTAATAGGGAAGGTGGGGGCAGAAGGGCTTAAAAGAAATGATCACAAGTTCCATTTTGAGACATACTGAATTTTGTATCTATTGGACATCTTAGTTTGAGATATCTGAAAAGCAGTTAGAGATGTGAGATTAGAGGTCAGCAGAGTTTGGGACAGGATAGGTAAATTTTTAAGAATCATCAGCATAGAAAAGATAATTAAATTCATGGATGCTGATGAGATCACCAAGTGAAGAAAGAGGGAATGGTAAGTAAATTCATGGATGCTAATGAGATCATCAAATGAAGAAAGAGAGGAAAGGGGGCCCAAGACAGAACCCTGAGGTACACCTACAGTTAAAAGGGTTAAAAGGCATGATCTGGAAGAGAATCATGCAAAGAAGTCAGAAAATGGGTAGTCAGATAGGTGGGAGGAAAACCAGGAGACAGTGGTGTCCCAAAAGCATAGAGATAAGAAAATATCTAGAAGAGAGTGTTCAAGAGTGTCAAGGCTGCAGATAGATCAAGGAGAATGAGGATTAAGAAAAAGGCTTTTGGATTTGGCAACTAAATGATCATTAATAACTGGAGAGTGAAATTTATGTGGAATGATAAGGTCAAAAGCCAGAATGTTAAGGGGTTAAGAAGAGAGTGAGATAAGAGAATTGTGGAGGCACCTATTATGGAAGAGTTGAGCTTCAAATCTTAGAAGAAATTAGAACAATATTTAGCAGTGCTAGAATGATCAAATGAGTGGTTTTTTTTCACGATGGGAGAGACACGGACGTGTTTTTAGGCAGTAGGAAATGTCTCAGTAGATAGAGAGAGACTGAAAATAAGTGAAATTTTTTAGAGGAGACAGGATGGAATTGGATTGCTTGTGCACATATATGCATATAAAGTACAGTCAGTCCTCTGCTTTTGCAGTTGTAATGTTCCTAGAAAACAGTGCAAAAGTCAAAAACACAAACGTTGAGACATTCCATCTATAGGGAACAGGGGGTTAGGTTCTCACAACCACTAACAATTGTAATCTTTCACTAGGAATTTCTGAAAATATACTTTTCTTCATACAATTCTTTATCACAAAACATTTTTTTCTCACTAGTAATTCCCTAGAATTCTGTGACCTTTTGTGCTAATGTCTCAACAAAAAAAGGTCATTTCAGAAAATATTCACTTTTTACAACCAGTGAAATTTATAGCACTTTAAATATTTTCTCCTTTTTGCATACATGACAAATTGCCAATTAGTTGATACCAAATTGATAATGGCTAAAGACATTCTGGCATGAAGTTTATGTAGCACATTTATTTTCTCCCTAAGCCGTATCACTGACTTTGCAGGCTTGGGTTTAGCATCTTAAAGGACTTG